TAGAATTTCCCCTGAAGAAGCTTACAGACATGGGAGGCTGAAAGCAGGACCTCAGTGGTGGGGAACTCCATCGCCAGGGTAGGTATCGGGATGAAGTGGGAATCCACCAGGTGGTAGACTCTCTCCCATCTGGGGCTGAACTTCTTGAACAGCTGGAACTTCAGCGCTGGGTCTTTGGCATCTTCCTTGGCAGGGGTGGCAAAAGAAAGAGTCTAGGCCAGGAGATACTCCAGCTGTAACTGCGGTCCAGCCACGACGAAGCTAAATACCATGCCCATTGAGTTATATAGGTCCAGTATATTAATAATATCTTAGGACAAAGACTCCCTGAACTGAACAGCTCTGGTAGTGGAGGATACCTAACTGGCAATCTTTCTTAACTCAGGGAGCAAAATGGGTGTGTTTGGGTCCTTAATCAGTTCTTGCAGCATAGTCAGGGCCATGGAGGAGATGAGGTGTCTATCTGCTTAAGGCTACTGGACAGATTGTTAAGCTCTGATTGAGTATAGGACTGATACTGGAGATCTCATTTCAAAGATGGGCACACAGCTTCCCTCCATTGCCATTGCTCTCAACTTGACCTGTGCCTTTAAAAAAAAAATATATGAGGGAGCTCTGGTGGCCTAGTGGCAAGAAACTGCACGGCAATCCCAATGGTACATGGTTCAAATCTGCCAGATGCTTCGATGGAGAAGGATGGCCAATCTCTTCCTGTGCCAGTCTGATCCGATTCAATGGTACACAGCAACAAAAACAAAAAAATATGTTGTTGTTGTGTGCCATTGAATTGGAACTGACTTATAGCTAACCCTTCAGTGGGTTTTCAGGGGGAGTAAATTACATAGGAAGAGATTGCCCATCTTTCTCCCACAGAGAAATTGGTGGATTTGAAGCATGTGTCTTTGGTTTGGCAGTACAGAGCCTTACCACTAGACCACCAGACCTCCCAGGTCAGATAATGCATACATACGTATATGTATATGTATATTTACTAGAAAGCTCTGGTGGGATAGTCTATGGCAATTTGTTCTGCTAACTCAAAGGCTGAGCATCTCTGGCTTATATTTACCAGAGGATCTGAGGGTAAAGAGATGAGACGTCTCCTTTTACAAAGATCTTCAGTCTCAGAAACACAATGGAGGGTTACTATGAGTTGGAATAGAATCATTAACGGTGAATTTGGCTAGCTTTGGGTTTTACATATCAAAGAGTTCTAGTCGCACAACTTTGAAATGGAATCCCAGAACACCTGATGGTGCTCGTGGAAACCTATACCTGGACTAGGAATTAGTCGTCAGAACAAAGCAAGGAAACCCTGCATTGTTTGGAATTAGGAAAGATGTACATCGGGGATGAATCTTATCTTCATACCTTTTCAATCTATATGCAGAACAGATCTTTTGGGAAACTGGACTTTATGAGGAAAAATGTGGCATCAGGATTGGAGGAAGACTTAACAGCCTGCACTATTCAGATGGCACAACCTTGCTCACTGAAACTGAAGAGGACCTGAAACATTTGCCGCAGAAGGTCAAGGACTGTAGTCTTCAATATAGATTGAAGTTCGACATCAAGAGGACAGATTCTCACCATGGGACCAATTGGCAGCATTATGATAGATGACGAAGAGATTGAGGTTGTTTACAGTTTCAGCTTGCTCAGCTCCACAATTAACACCCTGACATCAACAGACAGGAAATCAGAAGACATATTACATTGGGTAAATCTGCTGTCAGGAACCTCTGAAGAGCTTCATTGTCAGTCTGGAGACTAAGGTGCTCCTGATCCAAGCTTTGTACTTACTTGGTATGCCTTAGAGACTGGACAGTGACTAAGGACGACAGAAGAATCATGCCTTTGAGATGTGGTGCTGGAGAAGAGTCTTGAACATACAAACCATGGACTGTTAAGAGAACAAATAGATCTGTTCTAGAAAGGGTAAAACCAAGTTCCTCCCTGGAGGCAAGGATCTTGAAGGTCTATCTCACATACTTTGGGCATGTTGCCAGAAGGGACCAGTCCCTGGAGAAGGACACCATGCTTGGAAGAGTGGAGAGACAGCATATGAGAGGAAGACTCTGGATGAGATGAATTGACATCGTAACTGGGGTAATGGGGGCAGGTGTGTCGAAGTGAGACTGGCTTATAATGGGACAGAGTTCAGAGCTGTTGTACATAGGATGCTGCAAGTCACACGCAACTTGACAGCACATAACAGTAGCACAGTAGTTAAAGTGGTTGGCTGCTAACCAAAAGATCAGGGGTTCAAGTCCATCAGGTGCTGTGGGACAAAGATGAGGCAATATCCCTTGGTAAAGATTAGAATCTTAAAAACCTTTGGAGTTCTTTTCTCTGCTACAGGGTTGTTATGGTTTCAAACTCTGGTAACTTAGTGGTGATGAATTGTGTGGCCAACCTAAAGGCAAGGGCTTTGAATCTACCAGTTGCTCCAAGGGATAATAAAATTGGGCAGTCTCCTCCCAGGTGATTTACTGCTTCTGAAAACCTGCTGGAGGGTCACCTAAGAGTCAGTTCTGACTCAGCAGCATGTACTAACAAGGGTATTTCTTTAGGAAAATTAAATGCTAAAAATTGACCTTCATATTATGTTATTAAGCACTTTGGGAATATGCTATATAGAGGTTGTCGAGGCATGGAACACCTAGCCTGGGATAGTTGCTGCTGATCTGAGGAGTAAGTTAGTCTAGCAAGCTGGGGAGGGAGTCTTTGCTAGTCTGAGGGATGGGTGCATGCAGTATATAAATAAAGAGATGACTGGCTTGAAGAGGTAGTTACTGCCAATCTGAAAAGCTCAAGGATGAATCATTTTGAGGAGGCTGCACTGCTCCAAATGTGAGCAGGGTGTATGCTGGGCAAGGGTACACAGGAAGAGGCAAGGACCCCAGTTAGAGATGGTGACCCCACTAATTAGGGAGCTGTGTGCTGGCCAATTATGATGATCTGCTGTCTCCTAGAAGTAGTCTGAGTGCAGAACCATGGACTTGCTCCTGACAAGACACAAAATATCACAGACGTGGACTCAGGGAACACTGCCCGTTACCCAGTGGTGGTGGCAGAGGGAAAGTCACTCTCCTGATCTCCGAGAGAGCTTAGGGACATGAGTGCGATAGGATCTTTGCGCTGTCAGATAGTGACTCTGTGAACACTGTTACAGTCCTGGGTTACCACATTAACCAGATGGTCGTCCCAAACGGTGATAGTGAGCTGAGTATGGTTAGGTGCTCCATTATTTATTATCCATTATTTATTCTCTCTTTATTCAATCAGTTTCTTCCTTCAGTTGGTGTTTGAAGGGCCTTCTCAGTGTTCCAACATTGGTAGCCTTGTCAGTTATCTTTGTTCTCAGGTGTCTTTATGTCTGGATGGCTGTTTGTCTAGATGACTATTTTACCAAAAAGTTATATTCTGCTCTTTTAATGACATCATTTTAGATGTACTAAAACTCATGTAAAATAGTTTTCTATTAATTAGTAACTAGTTTATCAGCATGTTTATCGTGATCTATTGAATAGCCACTCTGGTGGCTTAGTGTTAAGGAGCAGCACTGCCAACCCAAAGGCGAGTGACTTGAACCCACCAGCTGCTCCGTGAGAGAAAGATGAGCAATCTCCTCCAGTGTCATTTATACCGTCTGAAGACCTACTGGTGGCAAGGATTTCAGAACTTCTCCAGCTTCTGTGGAAACTAGAGGACGTCAGCTATGAGTTGATTCAAACTTGATGGCACACAATAGCAACAAAACAAGCACATAACAGACTAAGATGGGTTAGGAAGAAAGGCCTGGCAATCTACTCGTGAAAATCAACCCATGAAACCCCCACACGTCATGGATATTTGATCTACTCCAGTCATGGGAGTGCTGTAGGACCAGGCAGTGTTTCATGTCAGTCATTGTGCCTGGGGTCACCATAAGCCCAGCCTCTCAAAGGTAGCTGGCAACAACAGGTGCACCAGAGAGAAGTAACAATGTGTGAGGAACAGTAAATGGTGCTGTGAACTCCCAGAGGCCTTCCTCCTCAGCAAGTGGAGGATTACACTGTGAGGTCAAATTAATATAGAACAAAAAGAGGTATCTATCCCACAGGGCAATGTGGCGGGCTTTAGCTTTCCTTTTTCTGCCCTTTTGGAGTCCATGAAGGTCTCCTAGGAACAGAACTTGTAAACCACAGAGAAGACTGGGAGGCTGCTGTCAAAGCCATTTTTGCTGGCTACGACCATGGTGTCTGGAACCAGAGGGAATACACAGCTCTTCTAAAAATTAAAGGTGTTTGTGTCTGAGATAAAACAGAATTCTATTTACGTAAGAGATGTGCTTATGTTTGTGGTGGTGTTTTTTTTGGTTTGTTTGTTTGTTTGGTGGTGGTGGTTTTTATGTTTACAAAGCAAAACATAACAAAACCAGAGTAATCTAGGGAAAGGTAACTTGTGCCCATGGAAACAGTGGCTTGGTTTGGGCCCAATTTCAGAGCAACCTTCCAGCTAAGTACATTGGACACAGAATCCATATAATGCTGTGTCCCTTATAATGCTGTATAATGCCGTATAATGCTGTATAAACTTCCTGAAAGCAAATAAATAGAATTATGGATTTGTTTTAAAATATATTTAAAAAATTAATATATAACAGAGCCACCAAGTAGTTTCCATTCTGCCATTTATTTAGAACTTCCTTGCAGGGATAACTTGCACATAATAACACTTCTCAGGCCCACAGCCACCCTAAGAAATACTGACCCCCATTTCTGAAACTGGGACTCATTCTCTTAAAGGGCCTATCAACTTCGCAAGTGTATCTTTCCATATCCAGTCTCATCCCTGTTGAACTGCCTTGTCTTGTCCCAGTGACACTACACAATCTTTGGAAATGGCCCTGAACTTGTTCAAGATGCACTCCTGTATCACGCTCTGTTTTCTATGTCCCCAGTATCAAGCCTAGATGTATACACCCCAACAAATCAAGGACAGCGGCCGAGGCTGGACTATGCAACGTAATATTTCGTGGTGCCACATTGTGCACAGGTGGTACTGAACGAGACCGAGCTACGCCGCCCTAACTCCTGTACTATCAGTCTCAAGTTCTCAAGATACTCTCGAACATTCCTCAAGTTGTGAGGACTTACTGTTCCCAAGTAACACTCCAGAGGGACAGGAAACAGTCCCCACACAAAGTTCCTCAGTGGGATCGTGTTTCTCAGAAGGCTCTCGAGGACAGCCATGGAGACTAGATTTCCACAGCAGCATAAGATCCTGAGTTGGGAGCAGTGACTCAGAGCAGGCAGGATGACAGTGACCTGGGAGTCTGTGAGCCCACACTCACTCAAGTCTAGGAGCCTGAGGGTGGCTGAGGTTTTCTCTAGAATAACTTGGAGGCACTCAGGACTTATGCTTGCCAGCTTGACACCACTCAAACACAGCTTTCTCAGGTGGTTGGTAATTGGGCACACGGACAGATATGCCAAGTCAAACACTGAAAGCACACAATTCATTATCCAAAGGGTATCCAAGGGGATCTTCAGGCACCTGTGGATAGACCAAGCAGTTAGTTGTGGGTGTGGTAGAGGCAGGTGGAGGGCTATGGTTAAGAAGTCAAGGTGGATACCATTGTCTAGAAACCCAAGATGTTTCTGATCACCTACAAAGTTTTATACCCACAATACCCACAATGCCTGGTGGGTAAGTAGAGTGGCAGTAAAGTCATTTGACTTATACATGGAAGTCTTTTGACCATCACTTATCCATGTGTGACTGGGTTTAGTTAAAGTAATTTATAATTCTTGTCTCATTTGTCAAGCTGAGTACAATAACCCCTTTTACTGGTTGTGAGGAGACATTGATAGAAAGTGTCCTGGAGAGTACAACCTTAATGTCTCAATCGAGAGTTGTTGTTGATTGCCATCGAATTGAGCATGACTAATAGCAATCCTATGAACAAAAGGCCTGAAGCCTTTCTATAATTATCGTCGTTTCTCCAAGTTCATAGAGTTTTAAGAGGAATGTGGTTTAGGAAGTGGATGCCACTCCTGCTTCCAAACCTGTCTTAAACTGAGAGCTACACCAAACACTGTTCACCAGGGGCAGCCATTATGGCCTTTGACCCCCAATGGCACAAGGTTCAGCATCACAGCAATCCAGATTACCTCAGTGCAGCAAATTGACAGAGGAGTGCTGTACAATTTAGAAGAATGTTCCTCCAAAATAAAATAACACTAGACCCTTGGGCCCAACCAGCTTTTAAATACAAGGAGATGATAGATAGATAGATAGATAGATAGATAGATAGATAGATAGATAGATA